CGCTCCAGCGAGGAGATCGGCGGCGAAGGTTCTTCCTCCTCTACCTTCTCCACGCCTTCCTCCACGTCCTTCGCGCTCTCCGCTCCGCGACGAAGAGCCACGGTACACACACGCAAACACACACACACACACACACACACACACACACCTCTCTCGATCTCTCGATCTCTCGATCTCTCATCCGCCTCACCTCTTCGGCCCGCGTATCTCTGATAGATTTCCTACCGGGGGGGGAAATCCGACCTCCTACTCTCTCGCAAGTTCTTTCTCCGTACACTCCCAGGTGCACCTGGGATTCCACGGTTTCCTTTTCCCCTTTTCTTATCCCTCTCTTTCTCGCAATAACCTCGCGACAATCGGTGCCTCCTCCCCCGTCCGCGCCCCGTCGGTATACACTTGTTCTTTGTCCCGCTTCGGGACATTGTGTTTCCCTCGTCATCGTTTCCCGCACATTGTCCCGCCTTTCGAGAACGTATTCTCGAGAAATTTTACGCGCTAACTTGGCTACGTTGAGAATTGTCTGTTTAAACTGCTTGTGATTTTTATATATTTCTATGTTAATTAATTCGATGAATTTCTCGAGAATATAGAAATCTATGGCGTGTTATTCAACAGGTTGTTTTAACCGGTAGAAATCATACGAGCAAAGAAACTTATTACTCGGACTTAGCACGTGACACGTTAATTATGTAATGCGAGAGTCTTGGGAGAAAAAAAATATATGAACTTATTATTGAATTTATTGTTGAAAGGTGTGCCGAATTTGTTTCACAAAACATATTTCTCATACTTATAAGCATATAAATAAATACTAATAGTTTGCATACTACTGCCTGAACGTATGCTATTTCAGTGCATAACTACTTTATGGTTGCATTCTTACAGGCGCTATTAATTATGTTGATAAGCGAAGGGTTGATTAACGAATCTACATAGATTACTTCTTTTTCGGTCAAAAAGAAAAATGTATCATTTATGTATTAATTTGTTAATTTATGATAATGTTAATTTATGATTAATAAGTTCAATCTTTGTACAAATAAATATTAAATATTATATACGCAAATTTTAACGAATCATTAACGTGCTACATGTTTCAACTTGTATCAATGTTGGTTTTTGTAGCAGAATTTAATTTAAATTTTCTAATTTTTTATATTAACATTTTGAGAAATTTCAGAATTTTTAAATTACAATGATAAAAATGATGGAATTAACATGGTGGACATGTGCAATGCTTTGATATATAATAAAACATATAATTTATACATATATTATATGTATAATATATTATAGATTTATTATAAATTTGCATTTATTATATACAGTTGACAAATATAATAAACATATAATATTTATCCTATTATAAGTATCATCGATATTGGCAAAATTTTTAATAAAATACTTGAAAATAATAGACATTTTTCTGTTACATAAACCATATTTAATCTAATATAACCAAACTTGAAAGAATTAAAAAATTAAAAATTTAATCAAATAATTCCAACATGGCAAATACATGCTAGAGATACGCAATAATACCATGCCGTATGAAATATTAATTATAATCAGAAAAATTATAAATATTATATTTTGCAAAAAATATTGAAACTAACAAAATCATGCATGTAATATGCAAACTATTAAAATTTGTGTATGTGTGATAATTATTCATACTTATTGCAAAAATTTGATCTTATATAAATATGAATTTTTCTTTTTAATTACTGAAAGGAATAATATGTGTAATTTTTATTCTACAATTTAGACTTAGAATCCTTCCACTGTGTATGATTATATTTAAAAGAAATTTTTAACAGTATTTTATGATATGTACATATTAATGATATATAGACAGCTTCCTATTATGAGATAGTGGCGTTTCTGCTAAACTAATAAACGCTATTTATCAGTTTCACCATGAATTTATTGCTCTTGGATTGAAAACTATTTAAATTCAAATTACATAGAAGATTCATTATTAGATCGTACCTGTAGTCGTTGTAAAAAAGATTTTAGAATTTAGATATCTTCAAGTTTCATTAATAAGATGAGTCTCTAAACTTTATTTATTACTTAATAAGTAAAAACATATTTGATAATAAATTCTTCATGTAGTGATAGAGTAAGATTGTACTAATAGAAAAATACGCAAGCGGCCAAACCCAGAAGCAAATGTTGACAGCATCTTCATTAAAAGTGTCTTTCTCTACTGTTCATTTTTATTAATATAAATTAACTGTAGTAGAAAAGTTCCATTAGTTCCGATAGCATACATTTATTCACGTTAGTCGGTGCCAAGAAATTTTCCAGTATACACTCAGAAAATTTTATAACATGTAACTGCAATATGTTTAATTAGTTAAAAATCTTTAGTGCTTTTCTATTCTAGACGAACTTTCAGTTTGTACTTTTTATTATTCCGGACATTTAATATCTCTTATGGTACCATTGTATCAAAAAATTTATGTGTAATAAAAATGATTTTTATAATTCTAAATTTTTTATTATATTTAAGAAAGCATGCCTTTTATTACTTCACAAAATAATTAAATTCTAATCAAACAAATGATAATATATTTTAGATAAAAGGCCAAGTTCAGTTTTAATTGGAATCCCAGTTTTAATCAGTGCCATTTTTTGTTTTGCAATTTGCTAATTAACTTTGTTACGTTATCTTTTTCAGACGAGAAGTTTAAACTTCAAAATATGTTAATGTAGAATATATATATTACCGAAATCCTTTTCAGAAGTTCAGAAGTCGAAAGAGCGAACTGGCTATCAATATCTTCCATAATAAAAGCCATATATTAATTATAAAAACATATATTTAAAGAAATCTTTATTGAGTTATATGCAAAATATATGATAAAATAGTACGCAAAAATATCTTAACATATAAGTAATTTAACAATGTTACAATGTATCTTTAATTTAAATACACTGATTGCATTGGTTCTCGGTGTCAGGTTTTGCAACACAATAAATGAGGATATCTAAAATGTAAATAAAGATATAAATATAAACCTTTTTAACGTAAAATCTCATAATTATAACTTCTTAATAACACTGCAATTATAAATCTGTTTAATTTAATGACTAATTTAAGTTAAAATAATTAGTTCGAATGAGAGAGAATAGCAATATTCATTCGTTTAGCCGAAATTCCTATCACGTTCGGTGCTTTATGTATAACGGCGGTTTTCTTAGCACGTGTGTCGTTTTAACAGCTTATACTCGAATCAGGGATGCACCGTAAGATATCTCACGTTTCCTTTATTGCGCATCGTCGGTCATTTTCGCCTTCATCGACTCTCCTGTGAACCTGTAAATGGCCTTATATTTTTCTTAGAACTATGCGATATATGTTCTCTCCTGATCGTGTTCCACAGATCACCGCGAATTTCGTAGTCTGCCATCTTCAACATAGTTTCTTACAGAGTTTACAATATCTCTCACCATATATGATATATCCTGATCTTAAAATGCACTCGTTTTCTTACTATTGTTATTTTTGATAATTATGAAATTAAAAAATGAAAGTAGAATATAATTTAGAATACAATATAGTTGTACATACAATTCTTGGTATAAGATATTCAAGGCATATATTTTTTATATTTAAATATGTAGTATATATAA